ATCCTTCGATGCTGCAAAAGCAAACGTCATAGTCGCGCGCGCAATGGCAACGGCGTCATGCGAATCTATAAAGGAGGTCGATTGTTGATATATATTTTTCTCTCTTTCTCTCTCTCTTACCCTGATCCTTGATCCAAGACGTCGTCAGCCTCTCTCTCTCTCTCTCTCTTTATGCAGCTATAAGGCGCAGATCCGTACATTCTATAGCTCCGTTGCGTTGGCCCCGCGCGCGCACTCGCGTATATAATAAATACAGCGCAGGAGATAGTATATGCGATTGACAAGCGTTTTCTTTATCCGACACTGGCTAATCCTGTTTGTCGTCGTTCGGGAAAAGCTGCTGCCGCCGCCGCCTTTGCGCATCTCTTTTTCGAAAGGCAAAGGAACACCGTCATCCGCCCGTACCGCGCGCGCAAGCTCGCAAGCTCGCACAAACATATATACTCATCAAAAGGAACTTGGCTCTATGTATATTTTTTCCGCTTCTTCCTTCCTTTTTTTACTCTGTTTTTTTTTTTTTTTTGTCGCAACTCTGTGTCTGGGCTCGTGCGTTGTGTGACTCGAGAGCACCTCCCAGTAGCTGTATGTTTGTAGGCGTAAACTCACACGCACTCGTGTACTATATACGTATCGCGTACGCATATCAATGCGGACCTTCGGTCGTATATTACTTTTTGCACTTGTAAAGCTACAGGTATGCATTTGAATAGCGCGTACACGGCGCGGGAGGCAAGTTTTTTGTCCGGCTCTCTATTTCAAAGGAGGTTTGATACGATTTGTACTTTTATGATCTGGTACTGGCTTGGCTTGGCTGGCGTTGCCTTTCGTCCTGACGCTGCCCGCGCTGGCTTATTCGCTGTCTATATATATTTGTACTACTACTACTACCGAAGGGTTCGTCTGTGCGCGCGAGCGAGCGAAGGGATTGAAAATATATACACACGACGAGATTCGTAGGTGGAAATATAGTATATTATGCCGCTGCCGCGCTTTGCGCTCTGGAAATTTGCTTTTATAAGGAACCCTGACTCTACGGGCGCTGCCCGCTCGGTCGAGCGACAGAATATACTCAAGATCCTCTCTTTCTTGCCTTGGCGGAAATTGTGTAAGCGCATTATATATTTTGTTTTTGTAAGAGTTACTACTCTTCTATCGATCATATATATACGGACAACTTTATTTCGAACTATCGAGGCTTCAATTAGTGGCGTGGAGGAAAAAAAAATAACATATATCGAAGACAAAAAGATTTGATTTCAACGCGTGGTAAGCCAAATGTTTTATTTTATTATTTTATTTTTTTTTCGTGTATCTCAGCGTGAATCGAAACCCGTGAAGGGTTAAAAAAGCAATGACGCGCGTTTTTATTTGCATCGCGCACACACACATATGTACGTATTCTCCGGAAAACATGTGTATGTGTGTGTGCCGTTGGCTTCGGCTTCGTCGTCGTCGTCGGTGCGTCGCCATATAATGAGCAACTAGCGCAGGGAAAGAGAGAGAGAAGAAGCGACGACTATGGGCATATGACCACCTCGCTACAACGATTTGCTGTCCAATTATTTTTTACTCTGCGCTCGCTACACTGCGTGAACGTCGTCGTGTGTGTGTGTGTATGCGTACATATACTTGTGTTGTACGCCAGCTGATGGAAACGCCTTGTGTGCTGCTGCTGCTGTATTATTGAGCCGACTTACCCGACTGCGCTGACTACTACTACTGCTGCTCTCTACCCCTTGGGGTGGCCGACGAGGGACTCTGATTTTTATCGTGACTATATTATGATGTTTGCCTCTCTATATACGTGTATAGCACGTGGTGGTGGTGGTATACGTACGAGGTGGTACGCGTATAACTGGAGCGAGGATGGGGCTTTGGCAAAGTTCAATAAGCAAATGCGGTTCGACCTACATTTTGTTTTGACGTATGGTTGAAAAAAAAAGGGGGAAAAATGTGTTCGCTCGTTAAAAATAGTGACTTATATATACATGGAATAAATAAATTGATTCTACTATATGTGTGCTTTTTTTCCTATCGGTCAGTCGGAGATTAATTACAAAGGTAGTTAGAATATCCAATCGTATTACCGGCTTGATTTATATTTATGCAGTCGATCAATCTTTATTTCGGCGCTGTACGAAATCTTCCCGAAGATTCCTCGATAGTGTAGACTATATATACCGCACCAGCAGCTATACACGATCTTTATTGTCGCGCGCGTCGATTGATATCACTCGTCCGTGCTGTATACGAGGCAAAACTGTGCGGGTGCCCGATCTAGCAGTAATTGAATTTAAAAGGGCGAGAAAATGAAAAACAACTAGTCATCTTGATGAAGAGACAATTGGTCGTCGATGACGTTGTATATAGGGTGCGCCCAAGATTTTCATCAGCTACTACGTATAGCGTCGCAGTGGGCTACTTGGCGACCCGGGGGTTCTTCGTGCTTTTACGGAGGATATCGCTCGTACGTCTGGCTTTCGTCGTCGTCGCCTGGACGCGTGTCTCGGTTAAATGAATAAAAAGTTGAGCTAGCCGAGCTGATGGGTTTTAACCTTTGGACGACCGGGCTAGCCTGGTACAAATGCTCAACGGTAATAATGGACTAGATAGCAAAAAATGATAATTTAAAATTCTTTGAAACGCAATACCATTAATTTTTCTGTTACAATTATGTTACTAATATTAAACGCATTATTAATCGCCTGAAATAATAATTTGATGATTTCAAAAAATGTAAGATAAATTTAAACGTTTTTTAAATTTAATATGATAACTTGAAGTCTCCACCACTAGATGGCGAGTACCCTTACCTGTAAGCCTACAAGTGGCAAATCTACAAAAATTGTATATAAGTCAAAGCAATTCGAAAAAACGTTATGGACTCGTTCGTGCCCTCGTCAGCTCCTTTAAATATTTGTTTTAATTTAAAACTAAGTTATGTAATGTATTAAAGCTGTTCTATTCTATCTCTTTATTTTATTTATGCAAAAGTGATGGTCCGAAAAGAAACCGCTTCAAACAGCTTCTGAATAGACGAATCAATGTTCACTCGACACGAAATGGGATAAACATCTACTGTCAAAATTTACTGTCGAAAGTTACTGGTCAGAGCAAACAAAGAAAAAGTTCATTTGAGGACGTTGCCTACGAAAAATTATTGAATTTCTTGTATTTACGGCGTTAAACTGAAAAATGCTGGTATCGAAAGATGGAATGATTGTAGTTATTGATGTTTTTTTAAAGTGCGATTTTTTGTTAATACATATCAGCCCAAGTGGAGTTTTTGCAAGCATCAAGTGCGTTAGACTATCGAGCCTTCTTTTGACCTACTATCACTCGAAGTTCAATGAACGATAAGGTCGATAATAATCTTGTTATGCGAGGGGAAAAACTTCAATGGTAGAGCCACGTAAAAGGCGAAGGATTGATGCGTTGACAACGTTCGCGATGGAAATTAGATCTTTATGAATAAAAGTTGAAGAAAATAAGTTTTTAATAAAAATACGCAAATTTCCTCAATAGAATTAAGCATGATACTCATTAATCATATTATACTGAAACGAAAAATAAAGTTTTCAACTTTTTGGAAATATCATTTCATATTATTGATCGAATTTGAATAAAATTTATAATATTGAATCATAGAAAGAAAATAAGAATTATCGAGGATTGTATATTTTGAATAAACGAGTAGTTCTATTTAAATTAAATATTTGTATATTGTTTACGTAAATTAAGTACAAAAAATAAACTTCAAACGTATTCATCTAATGAAAACAATTTTTTCAATAATCATTGTTGAAGCAACAGAAAAAAACATACGTTAAGAATGTACGTTTAAATTTTATACTATACGAATTATTAATTTAATGATCATGAATCATAAATAAAATATATGATTTCCATTGCAACTAACATAAATTGTAGATGGCAACACCTTCCACGCTGTGAATGTTATAATAAATCGATTCTGGTCGATAAAGTAATTCGCTGTAGTCTTTGCAAATGTACCTTTCGAGGAAATTGTTGCATGAGTACTGAGAGTCGATAATATCTTCTTTTTCAAATGAAATAAGCACAAAATTTTTATAATGTAACATATATGAAGTAGAACAAAATTTGAAACACTATAGTTGAATTAAATTTATATTCGTATAGGATAAATAAAAATTTAAATTTTCACCGTTATTGTAAAAAGTGCATCTCCACATCACATATTACCAAATATAGAACAAGTTTATAATGACCTCATTGAATACTTTTACAAAACTCTTAATGACGATTTCTTCCTGTAGTTTTTTAAAGACCTTGAGATTTTTTTAAAGAAACGATGGCGAATGAGTTCAACACAGGTATTCCATTAACTCCACAGGTTGAAATGTGAGTTGAAATTGGTTATAACAAATTTTTCTTTCAATCTTTATTTTGTTTAAAAAACTTTTAAAAAATTAGGCAATCGGAAGTTTAGTATACCGATTTAGTATTACGAACTTTCACTAGAATGTTTGAAAAAACATCAATCAAAATTGTTCAATCAACCCTTTTTAAAAGATCATATTTTACATTTATTTAACAAAAATGTTAAAAATAAAAAAATTACAATTATGATGGTTCTTATTGGCAGGCTCAATCGAACACTCAAACTCTTTTTATTATATAGTATTACGTCCGGTAAAAATGTAGTAGCACAGTACTACAAACTCTCCGATGCCGATTTACCATGGTGTATTATACGCTCGCGAAGTCGAAGCCGCGCACGTATATACATATCAGAAAAAGGAACGGGCCCATGATAACGGTGCACAGTTGACTGTATACAGCAGCACACACGGCACACCAAGACAGCTCTATATCCAGCGAGGGAGAAAAAAGGAGAAGGGGACCGACGAGAAGAACTACAACACAGTACACACGGAGCGGGCGTGTGTCTGCGGCTCTGACACGGGAAAAAGGCCGACGCGTGACTCTTGAGACTTTCAGTACCGATCGAGCGTTTTGCCGCGGCGCAGCCCGCAAAATTCACACACACACAAGTAGCGATTTCCTATATATTATATTATATACGGTAGTAGTACGCGTGCTCGTTCGTGTGTGCCACGCGAATAAAACCGGTACACTCGCGCGCGGCTGTCAGTGCGAGGCATACGCGTAAACAGCAGACACACACGCGCGTGCGGAACGAAATGCGCGATGTCTCATGAAACAACAGGTGACCGATGGAGCGTGTGAGTCAGGCTGCTGCTGCCGCACATCGTTGACGCAGATTTCCAAGCGATTTATATACACTTTGACACGAGTGAGTTTATCTGCCTTATACATTAACAATCGCTTTGCAAACAAAGACGATCTTCGTTTCGTTCGAGCATCGGAGTTTAACATTGAAATTATCGTTGGAATGAACTTTGATGATCGAACGTTTGATTGAAGTTTTGTGAGATTCGTTATCGCGATGTATTTTTAATTCGATTAGCTTGTAATTCTTTCTTGACCGAACGAACGTTTTTTGTTCATTTCTTAAAAATTACGAAAAATTTCAAAGACGTACTGGAAATATTGAATGTCATCGACATTAAATTACCGGTGACGTTTTTTTACACTTCATTTAGCTTATTTTGAACTAACAGTTGATGAGCTTTAATGGCAGATATAAAATTAATCGCAAAAGTAGACTGTTCAATTCATGAAAGATTATTATTCAAGTTTAAGAGTGTCAACGATATTAGCAAATTAACGATCTCTTCGAATGCGGTACATGTAATTAATTAAAAGTCTAAGCAGTTATAGAGGCAATAAAAACTAAATATACCATTAGTAATACACATGATAATAATCATACTTGTTAATGAAAATCTGTGTCACTTTACTCATTTCGCAATGAAACTTTCTTTCAAAAATTTTATTTAAAATCTAAACCGTATCTTATTAGTTGAGTTATTTCATTTTAAAATATATTCGTTGGATTTTCGGTTAGATCAACGTAAAAATTATTGTTACGACTGAGAATCACCTGTAACATTCCAATGAATTTCTTTTCTTCTTTATCAGGTCTTGAATATAATTAGAACAAACTTATAATTTATATTATTTACTGTTTATTCACATGATATTATAGTTTTGGCTATATTTAATCACTTCTTGAAAAAACTCCTCATTCTCGCTTAGTAAGTTTTTTTGTGCCAAGCAAGGATATCATAGAAAAATTAAAAAACTCCTCGGGAAAACTTAGAAATTGAATTTTTCAAACATTCAATAATCAATAAGTGTATTGACGTGTTTACACACACTAAATCTCAATAAGAATTCACTGCTTATTATTGCAGGAAAAAACAGTTCAATATCTATGGGACTACATAATACGATAGAGTTTTTACTTTTTTTGTGAGCACAAATTCATTAATGAATACATAATTATTATCAATAATATATTGTTTACATTGAACTGATTCTGTAATTGTAGGTATAAAAATCGATGCGAAAACCAGTGCTAAATTATTTGGCACTTAGATTTGGTAGATTCGTTTCGTGGGAAAAAACTAAAAGTTAGCTGGAGAAAGCTATTTTGAATTTTAGCGAGACACTTTTATAAAGAAAGTTTTATTATTTGACGTTACACTCCATAAACAAGTGAAAAATATCTTATTCGCATCATTAAATTTGAAGAACATCCTCTATTAATTCTACTTTTCAAACAAAATTCGCATTCGCCGCCTATAGCAGTTTCAAGTTTTTCTATTCATAATTTGCTCGATAGATATGTAATGACTATTTATCTTACTAATAAGCATCTCATTCAAATGCATCAATTTGCTCAATGAAAACAACGAAATTCAATACCCGAATCAACAGCTTTCATCTTATTTTGCTGTAAACTTTCAGGTTTAATTTCTTGAACATTTTCGCTAATCAATTTTATTTATTTAATTTTTCAATCTAATATAAACTAATATATAAATATATAAATAAAATATAAACTAATGTCACCAAAATTACGAAAAATAACAATATGGTATCAAATTAAAAAAATTAAAATGATCGTCCATATGACGGCGTTATTGTTTGGGTTTTAAATCATTTTTTGTTTACATTTTTGTCGATGCGAATTACGAAAACAAAGAGGCGCCGCGTAGCGGGCTCGATAATCACTATTTTTAATAATATACCAACATCGACGCGCGAGCCGACGTCGTATAGACGCGTTGTACACACATCACAATACAGCTCGCCGTAGATATATATGTACGTGCGTGTATCAACGATTACGAGAAAGTGTGTATGCGCGCGAAGTTATACGGATTGCGCAATTCCCGTCATGGTGATACGAGCAGCTAGCTCTTCTTTTGATGTGTGTGTGTGTGTATATGCGCATAATATCCGAGCGTTTTTGACCCATAGCGAGCCTAGGCTCTCACAATACCGTGATTGAATCGCGAAATAATTTTCCTGTTTGATTACCTCTCTGCCGTGTCTGGGTTTCGTAGGAACGGAAGCAGAACACGTGTGTAATGCTTATGCAATTAATGTATGGAAAAAAGATTTTTTCTCTCTTCAACAGCCATCGCCTTGATAGTTTTGCAATTTTTCATCGTCGTAGCCCGATTGATGGTATCATCGGGGCTTATCACTTTATTATCTTATTTTAATTCTTCTAATTGGCTTTTCAACAATTTTTTCATCAATTCTCTTACACAAGTAAAAGATTCATAAAATTTCTACTAAAAAATGTGTAACAATTTTACGTTTTTTTTATTTGTTCTTTATTCAAACACTTGGTTATCCTGTAATGACAGTTTCAACGCGAAATCCATCGTGATAAATTAGGTGTCTTATTCTATAACATCATTAGCATCTACAGGCGACAAAACAATAATTTCAATCCCAGAGTGATAATTATATACATAAATCTTAGCAAAAGTAAAAATAAAAAACGAAGTAAAATAAAATGAAAACTGAAAATTCTCCAACAAAATTACTCTTTCCAGCGAGTCTCGCGCATGACGCGTTTATGAATTACGCGCCAAGCTCGCGCGCGCCCGCGTACTACACGCGCACTGGCCGGAAAAGATTGTCTTTAACAATCGAGACCACATGCGAGGCGCTAATTAAGCCAGATGTTTTTTTTCTCTCTCTTCTTCATAACTATTTTCGCCTCCTATACCGAGTATTTTACACTGTACACTAATAAGACAATGTATAATGTATAAGTCGTTTAGACTCAATCTCTTTCGATTTATTGTAATGCACTTAAATTAGACTCGTGATTTTATTTTTCTTAACGAGCTTTGCACATTAAAAAAATTAAAAATTCATATCCCACATTCAGCAATAATAGGATTTGACCACTTGTAAGTCACCCTCCCTCGCTCTCGAGCGATCGCAAAATTGAATTAGCCCATACCGAGAAAATGCCGTGCGTGGCGCGCGCGAGCGAGCGAATGGATAATTGCCGCGGCTAATATATTCCGTTGGCTCTTGTGTGTATCGTTTCGAGCGAACGCAAGGGAAAGAGCGACCAAGAGAGTCTCTAAGAAAATAACCTTAAAAAAAATTCGAAGGAGGATGTTTATAAGAAACGGGTGCGAGCGTTAAACGAAGAGGTAAAAGCGTCGAGAGTCGACTGATAATCCATGACGAGGTCTCCTCTCTTCTCTTATTATACGCGCATCTCGTTCGGCTCTGAATCTCCTTAAAAGAAGTGACGGCACTTGTCAGCTTTCTTTCCAGCTGCACTTGATTGTATGCCAAGCTCACAAACAAGCCTTGTGTTCCTTTTTTCTTTCTCTCTTTCATAATATATAAAACAATGTATGCGGCCTATTATACGGCGATTTTCTACAGGGCTCGTACTTTTCTGACAAAAATTCATTTCATCTTTAATTTTGGCAATAGCGAGGAATTATGATACGAGTTTTAATTTCTGTGTATGATGATTATGGCAGCAATTTATTATTATTACTTTTTTGTAATTAAACGTAGCGATATTTAAATATTTTTCTAATTAAAATTGTGCATTGGTAGAGATGCGGTAATTTGGATATTTTAATTCCGCTTTGAGGCTCAATAAGTACCGGCTTTTTATTGCGCGTACTACATATGCAGCGCTATTATTTCAATAAATATAAAAACATAACTATTTATGGAGCAAGAAACATTAATCAGGAATAATGGAAAAATTAATTAACCATGCTATATTATTAAAACCGTAATAACTCGTAATTATTGAAATAAAAAAATCGATTATTGCTCTTATTCTAATATCGATAGAGAAAGGAAAAAAAAATAATTTCTATAATTCAACTGTAAAAAACATAATTAAGTTTTAATTATTATAAATGTTCGGCACTAAAATATTTACGATAGCGGGGTAAATTAAAAAAAAAATTCCGTGCGCAAGGCGAAAAATCCTAAATGTAGCTCAAGTGCTTCAGCGAAACATTGCTCATTCTTTGCTCAAGACTTTTCTCATTCGTGTAAACTATTGTATTGTTACGATTCCTTGATTCGAAACTCTCTACATATATTTCTTAAAGGACAATTTTCTTAAACGATACACTTTCTTTAAATCTGCACTGACTGGATTATTTACTTGATTTAGTGTGCACAAGTGTTTTCTCTGCTATATTACTTTTTGCTCCAGTAGAGTGAAAAGTTGTTACAACTATGAAATACCGGTATGAATGTCAATTTCATACGTATTTAATCCTAAAATTGCAAATGAACATTTTTGAATTCCCACAGTACAAAATTTACAATTCATATGAAAATTGTTAATTTTTAAGCTAAAACTTTTTTAGTTCTTATAAGTAAACCAAGACTCACTTGTACCATAAACATTAAATTTCATTTATGAGTATTTCAAAAAAAGAAGAAATTCATTTTTAATCAAGCATGGTAAATGAACAATTAAGAACTCACATACACGTTAATAGCATTTATGATTTATCATCTTCAATTTCTCGTATGTATACTGCATATTATACCAATACACTTGACAGTGATTTATGATATTTACATAGCTCTCTCGCCCACAAGATGATTGACTTGAAAATACAAAGTTTTATGCATCAGTGATTTTTTTAATTATCTGAAGGTCTTTAGAAGACGTGGGTCCATACCTATCGATTCGGTTTAACGTCAACATTTCTCTGAATCGTAACGTCAGAATCGCTTATCAAAAAATTAACATTCAATGAGATGTCAAATGGAATTATGTTCGTAAAGATTGACATTGTAAACTTTCTTCGTGTGAAACAGATCTTCCGGCCTTTGGAAGATCATAATGGGTTCTCATGTCTCATA